CTTGTTTTCATCATTCCAAAAACGTGTTTAAGCTTCATAAAAACTTCATTCCTTCTGAATGCTTCTATTGATACTCTTACCATAAAATGCTTTTGGTATCAATATAACGGGATCTTTGTGGAATACTTTTGGCATTAATCTGACAGGATATTTGTGTGCATAGTTCTCCTTGATCCTCAGAGTTCCCTCATGATGCCATTCCTTGGTTGCGTCATATTTTGCCTGATCATAAAACTTTTTGTCCATTTATGAAAACTTTTCAATTTGATGAACACTCTTTCGAATTAACACCTTCTGGTTATGTCATGATCATGCAATGCAAAAGAAATCAATATAAACAAGTTAGAGCAAAATAAATGTAAAAATAAATAAATAAATAAAATAGTTAGTACCAATTAATGAAAAGAAAAGATTCTATCTATCATGGTATCCTAACCTCATGCTTTATAGTTCCATGCTTTGTTGGGAAAAAATAACATAACCGCATGATTACTAGTTCGCAGGCATTTAATTAGAAGAGAAAAAAATTAAATTAAATAAATGAAAAGCTAGAGCTTATTTCTTCTTTGTGTATACCTACGAACAGGGTTTTAGCATTGTCTTAGATCGTGTGAATTTCTAGGATTTATTATATGCAGGGATTCAGTTCTAGGAGTAAAGGTACTCGAATTGTCCTTGTTGGTGCCCCTTGGGCAGCCAAACCCTCAATCCTAATCTATTATAGACTTAAGCAGATCGAGTTAAATTTGAGGGGACACATTTCTCTATGCCTGACACGGAGAATAAATTCTCACGAAGACATAGAGTATATAAACCCTGAAAGCTACTAGCTAGGTCTAACACAGAGAATAAATTCTCACAAAAACATCGCTTTCACTCCCACTTAAAAGGGAAAAGAGCTCGAGTATAGAGCTTATGTTATGCAATGCAAGTGTTGTGTATGAGGAGAAATTTTTACACAAAAATTTATATCTAAAAAGTAATTAAATACAAAAAAATATACAAGGGTATAAAATAAATTGAAAGAAATCAAAAGAATTATAAATAAAATTGAATTCTTAATTAATTATATAAACAATATATAATCAACTTAGGTTTGACCAGGGTCGCCAAACTGCCGTAACCGGTTTTTGTCCGGGTACGAATTTTCCTTGGCGGAAAAAGTAATGTGAATGAATAAATGTTTTTTAAGGAAATGTTATGGAGTCGCCATTGACCTTTTTGGATAAGGTAGGTCGAACACCTAAAAATCATATTTTAAAAGAATTTTTATGAAAACATCAGTTAAAAGATAAATTAATTTGCGTGTAACAAAATTTCATTCTTTTTAGTAATAAAAAGGGATTCGTGGTCGGTTACGTTTGGGGAAGGATTAACACCCCCACAACGCCCAAAATTGGTACCTGTTGATTATAAATTGTCTCAAATAATAGAATTTAAGAATTCGAATATAAATTTAATTTATGATCATCTTATTCCAGATTCAATCGAATAATTCTAAGAAAAAATATATTAAAATATATTTTTATGGTTTTATAGGATATTTATTTATTTAAAAATATCAGAAAATGATATCTAGTTGCTTTAAGACAACCCCTTTTAATATTAAAAAATAAATAAATATTAAATAAAACATTTTCCTAAAAATTATTTAAAAATAATAAAATTATATATATATATATATATATAATTTATAAAAGTATGATATTTATTTATTTATTTAAAAATATCAGAAAACGACATCTAGTTACTTTAAGACATCCCCTTTCTTAATAAAAATAAATAAATACTAATAAAATATGATTATTTTTCCTAAATTTATATTCTATATATTTATGACTAAAATAAAAAATAATATTAAATTATTAAATTAAATACATTGAACATAAAAAGGTAATAATAAAAATAAATTACAATTGAATAATGACCAAAATAAAAGGCTCTCGCCTTTTATATTTTAATTTCTTTTATTTTGGTCATTATTCAATTGCAAAATATATAAAATTCATGGTCAAAAATGAAAATTATAAAAAACAGTGATTAAAATGTAAAATATAAAACTTAAAGGCTCTAACCCTAAATATTATAAAATATATATATATATAAGTGTAATTTAACCATAATTAATTAAATAATATTATAATATAAATGATTAAAATTATAAGGGACTAAATAGGGTATTTACCCTAAATATTTAAACACCTATGGGCAATGACTGAATTATAAATGAAACAAAATACAAAGTACAAATTAAAAATGCCCATAAATTCAATTTGGTGACTAAAATATAAATGTACAAAATATGGAGGATTTCAGAAAGGGTTTTCCCATGCGGGAAATCACAAAAGCACCCTTCCACCAAAACGACGTCGTCGGGGAGGGGTATTTAAACCCTTTTAGCCGATCATTTTAAGCTGGTTTTCCTCATTTCCTAATTTCTTTCTCTCTCTAAGAGAGAGTCTCTCTCGCCTCTCTCTAGGTTTCCCACGCCGGAGATTACAAATCTACACCAAATCCTAGATCTCTTCAACCCAAAATCGAATCCGATTTTTATTTCTCCTAAAAAACCCCAAAATTAGTAGATCTAGAAAAAACGGACGGTTTTACCTCGATTTTCACACGGATTACGGCGACGTTTGGGCTTTCTAAGGGTAAGTTGCTTCTCTTCCTTCGTTTGTTGTATATATGGTTGTTTGTTGTTGGGTTTTTGGTACCTTGCTTTCCTCGTTCGTATATGTTATGTATTGCTTTTGTTGGTGGTCTCTTGGTGGTTGTTCGTTCTGTTGTGTTTTTTTTTTCTTTTTCAGGTTTGGTGATGACTTTATAACCATCTCGGTTGCTTGCCTCGGACCGGCCCCATGGCTAACTTTTGGTGAGTCACCAAACTATAGTGGTGACTCACTCAATAGCTGGGACGTGTGCGGTTTAGTGGTGCTTTCTTCGGCGAGGCGTGGCAACAGGTGGCAGCGTTGGACCTTCTAGAGTCTTCGACGGAAGCTTGGCGTGGCAGGTGCGCTGGAGAAGATGAACAGTTGGCTGGGGCGGCTGGAATCTTTAGGAAACCCTAAAAGGGTTAGGGTTTCTAGGGCCTGGTGGGTTATTGTAAAATTGGGCCTCGATTTACTATTGGGCCTTTATAGATGGGCTTGTAATATAAATTTTTATTTAATAATAATAATAATATTTATAATAATAATAATAATAATAATAATAATTTTAAAAATAAAATGAAAAAATTAGTGTTTACAAGCATAGCATCATCCATCAGCTCAGATACATGCCACAACAAAATGGAGTTGCAGAAAGAAAGAACCACATAATTCTTGACATGGCAAGAAGCATGATAAAAGGTAAACATCTATCGAGAAATTTCTGGGCAGAAGCAGCTCGATGTGCAGTTTACCTATTGAACCGATGTCCAACAAAAAGTGTGAAGTAAATGACGCCAAACGAAGCATGGAGTGGACAGAAACCAAGAGTTGGACACCTCAAGATTTTTGGATGCATCGTATATGCCTACGTTCCTGAACATACTAGAAAGAAGCTTGATGACATAGGAGAAAAATGTATTTTCATTGGCTATGATGAAAGAAGCAAAGCTTACAGATTATATAATCATCTTACCAAGAAGGTAATAATTTTAAGAGATGTCGAGTTCGATGAAGCAGACTATTGGAGATGGAGCAAAGAGGAAAAGAAAATCGAAGGACTATTTTTTAATAAAGATAAAGATGACGATCTTATCAATCAAGATGAACAAGCTGATGATCAATGTCCTCAACAAAATGTACCATCGTCGTCAAGTAGCAGCAGCGATACTAGCAACATAATAGAAGATTCTGAAGCACCTCCCACTGAAGTTTGAAGATCTACAAGAGAGAGAAGAATACCAGAAAGGTACAACGATTATGAATTAAATAATGTTTTACTATTCAGTCTCTTTGCAAAGAGTGATCTCATAACAAATGAAGAATTGATTGGAGATAATAAGCGGAGAAAAGCTCGGAATGAAAAATCAAGTTTGAGGGGATTGTTAAAATCAAACTTGTGTTTTAGTTGGCAACACACTTGGCAAAAGGTGGCAAAAGTTAGAAAATTCTTGATTAATGAAGCATGATCTTGAATTACTTAAGAGTTAAGCATGGAAAATAAACATGTGACAATTGATGATGGAAGGGAATTTCATTAAGACAAGGAACTCCATGTGGCAATACAAGAAGAATTTGGAAATTCCTAGATCTTTCATTAAGTTGGTTAATTACCCTTATAAATATATGTCTTTAGCATTAATATAAATGTATGCAAAGTGAAAGAGAAGGAATATGAAGATAGCTTAGAAAAGGCAGAATGAAAAATAGCTTAGCAAAGCTATTAGAGAAAGAGGGTGAAGCTTAGCAAAGCTTAGAATAGCGAGGTTGTGTTTGTAAACTAACCGCAACTAGTGTTGTTGCGTTGTTATATTGGGGTAACGTCTTGTAACGTATTTTACCTCATATTAATAATATTTCGAGTTATATAAATTACTGAGAGTCCACCTACACTTCCAACTGTGTGTATGAAACAAATTCAAAGTCTAAACACTAAAATAAAAATCTATAAATACGTTAAAATAATAATTAGGGTTTGATATTTGTTTGTAGCAAAATAATAATAATTAATTTTTAATTTAATATTTTTAATTATTTATTAGAAAATTAATAGATTGGTAATTTGTCATCCTTTTTATTATTAATTAGTAAATTGTTGAATGAAATAATCTTTTAAGATAACTACTAAAAAGTTATAAAAAAATAACAAATTGCTCACAAACTTATCGAGTCGAGTTAGACTTTGTTCGACTCAACTCATTAAGGTTTCGAGTCGAGTAAACCCGAGTCGATCTTTTATCGAATTTTAACCAAGTCTAGTTTGAGCTGCTCACGAGTTGCTCAACTCATTAAGCACCCCTAGATACACCATTCTAAATTAACAGTTGATCAGCAAAATAAGAAAATTGTCATTTACTGTGATGGGTTGAGATTAAATGGGGTCTCTTGCTGGTCAGGACTACCTTTGTCACCAAAACTGATCCTTCCAATTCCGTCACTTCCGAAACACATGGAGAAGGAATTAGCTGTTAAACCTTCCTGTGATAAAATGCTAGGAACTGCTATCTTCTCCATGCCAAGCCCAAATAAACCATTGGGAGCTGCAACATCGAGGAATGAACCGCTCTGTACCTGCCCACAGCTGCACAATTCATATTGCATTTTCATCTGAACCTAGACGAGAGTCGGGAAACAAATATCGGCCTACACAAAAGGTATACTTAGTAGTTAAGCTGAATATTAAGAGAGCTTACCCAAACGTGACGTATGCCTCAACCAACTGTGGATGATCATCTCCGGTCATCAGGTGAAGAACATCCTCCAGTAGAACGCCAGATGTAGAAGTTTGAGCTGACATGTAAGACACTATGTATGGACAACTACTGAATGTTCCGAGACATTGGTTACGGTGTGCACACATGCTACTGTTGCAGGTGACTCTTTTGCTAGTGGATGATCCTTTCGGTTCATATATGCTAAGCTCGAAATCCTGCCACCCCAAAAACAAATGCGTAGTTTAATATGAATTCAAGGACAAGAACTCACTACACTAGCTGGATAAACTATAACCCCACTCATGCTCTTCCCAATAACCCAATGTAGCTAAATTAGAGCATATGAATTCTAGATTGAACAAAAAAGCATCCGAGTGCAGAATTTTGCTATAGAGCTGCTGCATTTGTGGAGACAATTGAAGTACATTCTCTGAGTTACAATTAGACACGTCAAGAAACACATGCAAATTCACAATATGAAGGATAACAAAAAGAAGAAAACATACAGAAGCATAAGTAGTTCCTTCAGTTGGAGCGCATTGGGTACAATCGCATGGCACCCAGAAAAGATCACTCCCTGTATCAAGTGCCACCATGAACTTCACACCAGGAGTCCCTAATTTCACTGTGGTATAATGTAAACTGTACCAAAAAAACAACAACTTTATAACAATGTCCTAAATCTAAACTTCAAAGAAAATACTAAAAAAGGTGCATAAAGATGGTTTACAATCCCAATGAGCTGATTCGGAAGGTGGAGTAGGCATCAGAAAAAGAAAGGGTTGCATTGTTATCAGAGAGTTTGCGGCCGCGGAGGAGGCGGTCCCGGTGAGCTAAAACGGCGTAGTACTCAAAAGAGCCCTTTGCAGGCCAATGAGAGAGTTTGCCAGTGGAGTTGGACCAGTTCTTGACGGGTTCAGAGAAAAGGTGGTGCATCTTGAAAGTGAAGATGCGGCCATAGCTGAGGTTGAAGCTGAAGACCAAGAGGAAAAATAGTCTCTTTATGGAAGAAAACATTTTCCTCTAACGATTGTTTCGGGAGAATCCAAGTCGATCATCCATAAAGAATTGCTTTTGGAAGAAACAAAAAAAGGATAAAAACTGAAGGGGAGAGAAAAAGATTGGATTTTGGATCTTGATTGATCTAGTATTTGGGATCTGTTGAGAGGGTACGAAGAAATGTTGCTTGCAGTTCTTCAGTCTTCTTGTTTGTTGTTACAGTGGAGGCGAAATGTGGACTGGGGTGGGGCCTACTTTCCTTCTACTATACCTGTGTGTGTGTGTGTGTGTGTGACAGTTAAGGAAGTTAAATTCAAGTGTAGAAATGAAACAAAATTTAGAAAAACGTAAGATGATGAAAAATTTTTATGTGCAAGAGACAATGAAGTCCATTTCAGCTCATAATATTTACAACAACAAAAAACAAAGACTAAAGACCCACCACCATATTATAGATTTTTGCATAGTGGTATACTAAAGAGGCTTAAAGCTACAAAAAAAAAAATATCCCAGAAAAGGGTAGTTCGTTCCATCCAGTGCAAGAGATACCCATGAAAAAGGGTGGTGCAATATCAAGCAGGAGAGGCGGAGTGGATGCCAAATTTGTCTGAAAGATTGGTTCTGGTGAAGGGCGAGAGAAGCTCCATTTGATGAACGAAGTGGACGTCGTGAACCAACGGATTGCCTGTTCTTCCCGGCGGTGACCCTGCGTAACAGCTCGGCCAACACCCCGCGCATGCTCCATCGTTTTTCTGATTTCATATGTTGGTATTAGAAGAATGAAATCCTTTTGATTTATGTATCTCTAAACACAAAGACATGTTATGATTTGAGGAATGAAATACTAACCTTGTCATCAATCATGTTCAGAACTCCACTTCTCACATCGGTATTCTGTAGGCTGTTCATCACATAGGACACCAAATTAGTTAGTCCAGATAATTAATGGTGTAAACTATTACAATTAAAATACTGACATGATTTCTTTTTTAACTGTTTGGACTAATTAGAAACGTGATAGAAGTAGGCGAATCAAATTATAACCGATTAAAAGATTAAATACCAAATTTGAGCATTATAGAGGGACCAACATAAAAACTTTTACCCCGTTTTAGGATGAACAAAGGAAAAGGAGAAAGGAAAAAAAATAGAGGAACCCGGCAAGAAGGAACTAGCATCTTCAAATTAGGAAGGTGAAAAAAAGAAGGAAAGAGTGAGAAAAACATGGGAATGAGAGTGAAGCGACGCTACCTGTGCTTGGTACATTTGAGGGGCTTGAGAAACTCGGGAATGGGAGGTCCAACGCGGCGAGGTTTAGGGCAAAGGGGCTGCTGCTGCTCATAGCTTCCAAACCCCAACTTAGTCGTGTCTGAATCTGAATCCACAAGCTTGCATTTAACTGGTAAATGCTGCTTCATGATTCTCTCTCTCTCCTTCCAGGTCACAGGAAAAGATACACAGTGACTTTTGTCTTCTTTTTGTGATTTTATTTATATTAATTGGTATAGGGAATGGAAAATAAATGGAGGAAGAAAACGTGGTTTGATTTAAAGACGAGAGAGTGAAGAAGGCATTTGTTAGAGTAGTTGGCATTTTGATCTCCTGGTTTTCCTCCCTCGGTTTCTAATTTATGCCTACAAATAATTTCGTCCATGTTTCCTCACCCCTGGAACTTTTCTTCCCTCCCATTTCAGGATTGTTTCACATATTTCATACCCTCTTTGCTTTTTATAGAATTATTATCCCAAACAAACCCCTGTGGAACCCATCCATACTCACCTTTTCTGCATAAAGAGATTGGATTACCACCTTGCTTCCGATCTTACAATTTATTCCTTTGTTCCGACAAGAATATCTCACTGTTTTGTAAAATCTTACAAAGTAATCGAACCCACATGATCCCTGTACCTTGAAAAATAAACAAATCAAGAAAACTATATCAACATTTGACTAAGTTGTATTCTTCAAATGGACATCAAATGTTTGATTGACATGGAGAACGTCCTTGAAAACACAAGTCAAATTACACAATGTAAAATTAAAAAGTTTTACATTGATTTAAAATTATTAACATAAATGAAAATAGACAATTGATGTTAACACTAATAGATGAGAAAAATATTCATTGAAGAAAAAACAAGATAATTTCAGTCATCATTTTTACTCATCCAAAATCTTAAATTAATGTAAAACTAAAATTCTTTTACATTGTATAATTGAATTTTAACCCCTCTTTTTATATAATAATAATAATAATAATAATAATAATACTTTATATTGTGGGATGGGGGTTGTGGAGCACTAATAATAATAATAATAGTAATAAGCTTATGCATTACTAGCTCCTAAAAAATACTTGATTAGAAAAGACCATCGTGGTACACTAGACAAATGTTGAAATAATTAATTGAACCGTCAATGTCTTAAATCATAAGTTATATGTATCCCAATCGAATCTAGGTTGTGAGAAAAGCTCATAATTAATCGGTCCATCTATAATGCTGTCTATATTTTGCATGCCTTCCAACAGGGCTGGTTGAAAACTATCATTCTCAGAAGGCAACAGTTCGTAAATTACTAGCAATCCCAGAGTAAATATGGCTTGCATCTTTGTGGAGTCTCCTTTCACTGAAAAGAACAGAAGCATCGAGAGGAACAAGTCGAGGCAAAAACCGCATGATACACAATACCGTATCCATAAGCCTTCCATCATTCCCAGCAGGAAATCCACGGACTCCATACACAAACAGAAAGTTGTACTTATCAACCACATACCTATATCCAAAATAGACTGCACCCACTGGTACTACGATCAGAGCAAAGCATGAATATATTAAGGTCGGGGAAAATATTGTCAAATTAAATGCATAATACTGCACAAAGTCGAATGTCTGCTTGGGTATAGGCAACGTCTGGCTTCTGATAGGATAGACTGAAAGATCCTGTCCCTGAATGTCAATTCCACCCATCGTAGGAGAGTCGAATAAACTCTCTGGAAACAGTGGTCTACGCAAATTATTCAGGTTCTGATATTCTAACGGCTACTCCTCACTATTATCTGGGACCAACTGGAGCATGTCATTCTTTCGAAACTTCTGAAGCTTCTTCTTTATCCAAGGAACTGGAGCCAGCAGATCATATGATATTCCCAAGAATGTACTTGTGATTAGAAATGCAAGAGAAGAAAGGCAATACCTTGAAAGGAATGATGCACTCATGTATTGTTCAATTCTCTTGCAGTCCTCTCCATCCAAATAGCATCGACCCATCAGAAGGATTGCACTCTCCAATGATGACTCAACAAGAGCCTTAAGTAGGATCAAATTGACAAGGAAGAAGCAAACCATCTTTAATAATGCTGCTCTCTGCTCACCGGATACCGTGAGATGCCGTTCAAACTTGGAAAGATGGGAAAGAACTGAAGGGCCAATTATATACATGCTAACAAATATAATTACATTAGGCAAAAACTGAAAGATTAGAGATGCCATCCAGCTTGAACTTTGCACCCAAGCCAACCATGACTGTGCATGATCAATTGCTTCTGCGGTAATAATCCAAGCAGCACTCTGCACAGCAGTGATTACTGCAAGCGGCGAACTGAGAAACAAAAGCATCAACAACAAACACATGTTCAAAAACACTCTTCGCAGTTTCAGTGACAATTTTGTTGATCCCAAATGGTTCCAGTAAATATCAGCGGCCAATGGGGCTCTTTCAACTTTCCATTGGTTCCTCTGCAACTTTAGTTCCATGACAGAAAAAAAACTCCCCAAACCGCCTCTTTTTCTCATTCTGAAAATCTTGAACTGCCTTATTTGCAGTATATATATCCTTAAACATCACAAAAGCAACCCCAGCACCCTGCGCATGTCCTTCCGTATAAGCCGCTTATTTGGTCTCCAACTTGGCTCTAAATTCTTGCAGCTTTCTTAATTTTTCTTCATCTGTAAACCCAAAGTTACTCATAATCTGATCGAAAACACGTTGGATTGTCCTCCACAACCAACGGATCCAGCCCAAAAAAACTTCATCTCCATTCACATCATCTTCACTTTCTTCTGGCAGAAGAGGTGAATCAATTTTCGTTATCAACCCAGTAATTTCATCCCTGACCTTAACTACTTCAGTGGCTAAATCATCCAATGCACATAAATCCATAGGCATAATTACCCTGTATCTTTCCCTGGATATCTATACTGAAAATACTCGAGCAAAATACCTTTGTCAACCACTATATTCTTTGGTAAACCCTGAGCCATGATCGTAATAATCTCATTTGAATTGGAATTGGGATCACTTAAATTTCCATTCCCATCCCTAAAACTAATAATTCTTAATCTTTCTTCAATGACAAATTCCATAATGGAAAATAATAACAACAAGAAGGACGAAAATGAAATGTACCCAAAGTAACACCGAACCCTTACTAATATGACTTACAGTGGTTTTGGAGAACTCAACCCCTAATAAAGCAGCGCCGCCGAAAAATTTACAGGGAGTGATACGAAAACAGCCAAAACGGCAACAGATAAGAGAACGGAGAAGCTGCCACCTTCGATTAAGAGGTATTGGGAGGCATCAGCTCCGCAGTGGCGAGCAATCTCACGGCCGGTAGCGTGCCAGACGCCAAGGAGCTTAGAGAATAGAGCGGAGGGTCCGGGGATACGGCGATGATCGCTGCGGAGCTTGAGGAAGAGGAAGATGAGGACGCAACAAAGGAGGCCGACTGTTGAAATGTTGAGGAGATACGGGATGTTGCCATAACACGCTCCGTCGATGGGGAAGTCTTCGTCAGATGAAGGGGATGGCGGAGGAGGAAGCGTGTCGTTCATCGGAGATTCGTCGATGGAAGAAAAATTAGGGATTTGGTTATGGGAATTTGGGACTTCGATTGGATGAAGGTAGACTTTTGAGGTTTTGTTGCTTCGATTCCTCTAAATAGTTATGGGTGTGGAATTTGGTTATTAGGGCAATTATAACTAAAATATATTTGTACTCTCTAATTCAACAGTTGTAATGGGACATAACATATTATAACTAGGGTAAACTACATAAATAACCATATAATTATGAGTCAAGTATATAAATAATCATCATTTTTAAATTTGTGACAATAATATTATTGTACTATTTAAATGAGTTCAAAAATAACCACACGCCGTTAACATTTAATAGAGTTGTTTACGTGTTAGCTAAAAAATTGATATAATTAAAGTGTGATTCATTGTGAAGTTACGTGGCAGTTGAAATAAATCTAAGTGACTAATTAAGAATATGACAACACTTAAATCATTAAAATAAATCTAATAATTTATTTACAATTGATTTAAGTATTGTCATATTTATAATTGATCTATTATTTTACATTTTAATAAGTTATGAATAAATAGGATCATTCATTTAGAATTGATAATATCTTGAAGTCACCTCAGTTTAATTAAAAAAAAGGTAAAAAGATATCAGACGTCCTTATATTTTAGAAAAAAAATCAATGTGACACTCGTATTATTTTTTTTCTTAATATGACCCTCCAACTCATAAAACAAACCCAATGTAGCCTTTTGACCAATATTTTCTGTCGTTTGACCGTTATGATGCTGACGTAGTAGTTCATGGTGTTGACATGACATGTATGAGTATTGAGCATGAATGATTGCATGTTGTTTGTTATCTCATGTTTGTTGAAAATGTGTTATGATGGACATGTTTTAAACTTAAATATTTTTTTTATCAATTTCTAGTTCATCGTAATGTTTTTCTGGGTCAAATTGTCTTTTTATGTTTTTAAATGATTCTTTTAAAATACTTTGACATTAATTTGTTCTTTTATTGAAAACCATTTTCAAAACAAGTGATATCCTTAATTCATTGAATTAAATGATGCATATATAAGAAAATTTTAAATATTTTTCTTAACTTGCATATGCCTTCTTTGACATCCTCCATACCTAAAATTGATATTATATTTTTTTCAAATATCATTTGGTATCAATTTTTGTTTACATAATTATATTCGATGAGTTTTATCTTTAAAAGTTTTCTTGGGATATCTAAGTAATGGAGAGTCATAAAAGATGATTTGAATAGATTTGCATAAATGCAAATCTAAATTATGCAAAATGTGATTTATGAAATATATCTTTTCTATTGCATGATTATATAGTAATTAGTTCGAATACTCATCAATAGATTTTAAATTTTTGGATCTTGATATTTTGATGAAATTCATTTTTTAATTTTTGCATATTTGCATATATATATATATATGCTTTTTCATCTTTAATATGAAAATGCAAATTATTAAATGTTCATGTGTATTCTTTCATTAACAATTGGTATACATATTAAATACATGACATTATGTAGTGCTTTATGCATATGATATTCAATATGTCATTTTTAATTATTTCATAAAATATAACAAGTCTTGGATTTATTGAATTTCATGTGTTACTTACATACTTTCTCTTCTTATTGAAATTCAATATTCTTCATAAGTGCATAAGTGTTTTTGTGCCAAAACGTTTCATGGAATCCTTTTATTAAGGGGGGGCTTTGTTTTTAAATGATTTATATGCCTGAATCTTTTATTTTTATTTTTATTTTTACTTATTCTCCATTGTTGAATTACCATTGTTGAATTATTTTTTATATAACAAAAAGGGGAAGAAGTAAGTGAAAAATTAAATTTCTCAAAGAAAAAGGGGGAGCTTAATATTTGTTTTTATTAAATTCTCTTTTCAAAATATATTTTTCTAAAGGTAGCTTTTGTCAAAAGCAATTTTTCAAAGAATTTTTGTTATATCAAAAAGGGGGAGATTGTTGAACTTATATTTTGATATAACACATATTTGTAAAATTGATTTTGGACTCAATCAAATTTTTCAAAAATAATTCAA